GAACATGTTTTGAAATAGCATCACAATGCCAAAGTGTTTTTGGGTCATTATGATATAAAAAACATTACTTCTCATTCTAATTTATGAAGATTAAAATGTTTAAAGAATAACCACACAACAGTTTAACAATGCAAACTATCATAAATGAATACTTACTTAAAACATCACTTCACTCAGACCTGTTGTCAAATAGATTATGCTTAGGAATTTGGTTTCCCACGCATTTAAAAATAAATAACAGCCCCAGCTGGTGTGGCTCAGTGGACTAAGTGCCACCCTGCAAACCAAAGGGTCGCCAGTTCAATTTCCAGTCAGGGCACATGTCTGGGTTGCAGGCCAGGTCCTCAGTTAAGGGTGTGTGAGAGGCAATCACACATTGATATTTCTCTCCCCTTCTTTCTCCTTACTTTCCCCTCTCTCTAAAAATAAATAAATAAAATATTTTTAAAAATAAAAAATAAGTAACAGTCTTCATTGTCAGGATGGCTGTCAAGATAACTATAGTCTCCCTCCAAAAATGTATATTAAAATAATTAATTCATATATATAAAACTTCAACATCTATAGGGATAATTATTAAAGGACAAGAATAAGCAGCCTATACCTATAAACACAAGGTATAGTTATATTTCAATGACAGGAAGGGATATGAATGTTTTTCAGTGTTTTACAGATTTTAAGCCAGGGCAAGAAGATACAAAGGGCAAATTCCTAATGAACAGAGTGGGGTTGCAAAGTAGTGTCTCCCCTACCCTACATAAAACCTGTACCCTAGTTGGGTTTTGTGGTAGATGTCACAGTATGTCATTTATAACCCTCTCTCAGATTCAAAGTTCTCATTCTTCCAACTACTGTGAATGACTGAGAGCCCTTAGGTGAGTCTCTCTTTGATTATTCTCTTGCTAGTGAGACCTTGCTAGCCCAAGATCAAATCCCTTTCCCAGCAGAGCCCCCAGTATAACATATTGAAGAAGCATACTTGATTTACCCCAATTCAGGACAACTGTGATGGGCCACTCTGACTCCAGAGATTTCTGCTATAAACATCTGGCTGACACTTGTTGCCACTTCATCACAAATTATTTTCTCTATTTTTTTCATCCACTTCACCCACACAATGACCTTGAAAGCAAAGCTGTGTTAGTTTTCTAATGCTGCTGTTAACAAATTACCAAAAATTCAGTTTCTTACATCAACACAAATTTATTATCTTACTGTTCTGTTTGTTAGAAAGCTGCTGCATTTCTTACTGAGCTAAAATTAAGGTGTCAAAATGCAAGATCTGCATTCCTTTCTGGAGACACTAGGGGAGAAAATTTTCTGTTGCTTTTTCCAGTTTCTGGAGGTGGCCTGCACTCCTTAACTCATGGCTTTCCGCTCCATTTTCAAGCCAACAAGGAAGGGTTCAGCCCTTTCCATGGGGTGTTACTCTGGTTTTGCTTTTGTCATCACATCTCCTTCTCTGATTCTAGTTCTTCTTCTTCCATTGTCTACTTTTAAAGACACATGTAATTACACTGAACCACCTGGATAGCCCAGAATACTGTCTCAATCTGAAAGTCAGCTGATGGACAACCTTAATTCTGTCTGCAAAATTAATTCCTCTTTGCCATAAAACATAACACATTCAGATTCTGGAGATTATTATATGGACATCTTAAGGGGGGATTATTCTGTTTACCACAACATCAGAGTAAGATGCTTACATGAAAATCCCCATCGCAATGTACTTTCTAAGGAAACCAACCTGCAAAGGCTGCTCAACCACCGTCTTTGAAGAGCCTAATAAGAAACCACAATGGCAAAGAAAAACTCACAATAAATAGTTCCCAAATGTTCAAAGATTATTTACAACATTAAAAAAGAGCAAATTATATAGTAAGAGATTGTGTGAAATATTATTAAAAATAAACCAGTTTATATCCTACCATAGTTGGGAGGCTAAATATTCTAATCAACGTTGTCTAGGGAAAAGTTTTGTCCTTGTCACCCTGATCTGTTTTTTATTTACTGCCTCTTCAAAACTCCTTTTCCTATTCCTTTGCCTTGATGAGAAAGGAGGTGGTGTCAGAGTCAAGGTTAAAGTTTCTTTTACCTGAAAGGGGAGAGAGAAGAAGGACCAACCACCATTTCACCTCATTTTCATCCTCTCTGTCCTATTAACTCCTACTCTTACTATCTTCATCTTCTCCAACACTGCAGTGTCTTTTCTTATACCCTTTACATTTTCCACCTCTATCTCCTCTCATCTAAGTGTTTTATCATACTCAATGTGGGTGTTATTGATTAAACTACACAATAGAAGTCATATGAACATGCTAAAAACAATAAAGCAATTCAGGTTCAAAATACATGTAGTTAGCAGCCTTAAAGAGATGGGAGAGGGAGAGATGTAGGGAGGGGCAAGAGAAATTGAATTATAATTATAAAAATGTACAAGCTTTTGTGAAAAAAGACTGAGCATGGAAATTTGTGTCAAATAATTAAATTTAAGAACTGAAGAATAAAATGAAAAATGTCAAAAATAAAAATTGTGACTTTAGAATAGGTGGATAGAGTCTCAAGGACACAATGAAATAGATAAAGTGAAGGAAGGAAAGAGAAATAAGGAGTTTCAACTTTAAAGTATTTACTAAAAAGTATGGGAAGAAAGTTTGGAAAGAAATATTTTTAATAATTAAGTTTAAAAACTCCTAGAAGCAATAGACACATAGTCTCAGAATGTAAAAGCCAACTAAACACAAAACATGTTTTTTTAAACTATAAATCCAACTCCATCTAATAAAATTTTAATGAAATTTTGAAACATCAAAATCTAGATTATTTTGAAAGAATACAAGGAAAACTACTTTTAAAACAGTAATAAAATTGTTGTTTTTCATGTTTTATTAATGTTCTAGTTGCCAAGAAAAAGTTCCACGAATCTGTAAATTTTGATTATTTAAATGTGAGGGCAAAAAAAGACATATTTAGATAAACAACATCATTAATTATTACAGGAACAGGTGGATTTGTGACAAGTAGCATGCACTGGCTGGGGGATCATAAGTGCATTCTCCTTGAACATTGTGGATCCCAGAGCAAGAATATATCAAAAAAGATTTGTTACAGAAATAAGTTTATATATATATATATATATATATATATATATATATATATATATATATATATATATATATATATATATATATTTAAATTAACATAGTCATTTAAAGAGATTTTTTTTAACCTGGAAACAGAATTTCAGACAATTCCAACATGAGTGATATAGACATACAAGAAAAACAAAAAATTACAAAAGAAGACTAAATTTTGTTTTTGTTTAAAATAGGGCAGTTATAAATTAGTTGAATTAAAACACTAATGCTTAATGTTAGGAAACAAAGTTAAATTAGGAAAACATAAAAGTTAAAAAAAGGAAAGTATTGAAAGATATGAAATTTTTAAAAATAAAAGATTAAAACCAAATATCAAGAAAGCAGAAATCTGCTCTAATTGGTTATAATCCTCTTACCTAATAATTCTATCTCAAAATATACAACCTGGTAAGTTATCTATTAAAAATTTACAAAAAATAAATAAATGGAAGGATCAACAGCATATTTTATAATTAAATAATAATTATATAAAATATCTTAATAAACACATAAATAAAATCAATGCTATAAAACAAAACAAAAAATATTTTAATCATACAACTTAATAATATCTAATTAAAATTCTGTGGATGTTGTAAAGCTAAAACAATTTGTACTGTGGTGTTACATGATAGGCTTTGCCTCTAAAAAAAATAGTTCAGAAAATGTGTTGGGATTATGTTGAAGATGATTTCAAATTTATTCGGTATAGATTTCATGAAGCATTATCTTTAAGAGAAATGTGATATTAAAAGTTATTATTTTGTGAAGTTTAAGAACCAAGATATTTGCTATTTTTTACTTTAGTTTCTTTTATAAAATGTCTGAAAAGGACAAAATAATATATTTCTAAATGTAAACTAATGTGATAAGTTTGATGATTCAAAAGGTCATTGCTTGGTCTTTAAAAATTGAATTATTAAATTAACTAAAATCCCTCTGTCTCATATAAAATAATTGTTTTTTATGGATTGTACATTAAAGTTATCTGGGAATCTAGTGATAGATCATGAGAGGCCTTAGATTTGGGAATGGAGTATTTTAGAGACAAATGTAGATTGAGAATAAAATTGAGTGAAAGAACACGCAAAAGAATGCATCGCATAGATAGATAGATAGATAGATATACTGTATGTAATTCAATTACAAGACCGCTTTATGCTAATGCTATGGGCCTGCATGCAGAGAGGTAGTCAGCGATGGTACTGTTGGTATTAGTGAGAAATAGTTTTGCATATATGTTTGTTATGGCTGTCATTCCATTGAGTCTTATGTATTTGGAAGACCATTTTAATTCAAGCTACAGCTTTGGCAATGATTTTTTTGAACCTATGAACTTGACTGTTTTCTAAAAGCACAACAGAGAATGAAAGTTCCACAGACTAGTGTTAGTTTGGTTCATTGATTTATCCCTAGCAATTAAAATGATTCAAGACATATGATAAATACAAAATAAATGTAATTTAAATGAGTGGATGAATGAAACAACTAATTAATTAACTAATTAATTAATCAAGGGAGACACAGGGTCAAATTTATAATGCTTCATTTCTCTAATTATAAAATACAAAAGACCCAGATAGGTTCTTGCCCCAGAAAAGAAGCACTCTTTTGAAATTAACAATTCCACATGAAGATACTTGGACAGAGGCCATACAACTTCTTTCCGAGATAGTCCATTAGCCCTTGAACTTGAAATGCAATGAAGCTTCCACAAGTCTTAGAATTCATTAGTGAAAGTTAAGTGAAATGAACTTGTATCACAACCTGGCAGCAGTGGGTTAGGACCAGGAGATGTTCATTAAGGAAAGAATACACAAGACTTCCTTGCAAAATTATTAGTAAATGAATGAAATAGATGTCTTATTTTTTAGTAAAGACATGGAGCACTCGCTCACGAATCTGTTTGGTCCTCAAACCATAAATGATGGGGTTGAGTGAGGGTGGGATAACCAAATAGAGGCTGGCAATGAGAATATGAATATAGCGGGGTATGTTATGTCCAAATCGATGAGTGAGAAAAGAGAAGAGTGAGGGAATATAGAAAACACAGATGACCCCAACATGGGAGCCACACGTGCTTAGGGATTTTAGCCGTGCATCCTGTGATGGGAGGCGGAAGACAGCACGGAGAATGTAAAAATAGGAAATGCCAATGAGGATGAGGTTCAGAACAAACAATGACACAACAAAGAGCCCATAGATAGCATTGATACGGATGTTTCCACAGGACAACTTTGCAATGCCCATGTGCTCACAGTAGGAATGAGCTATTATCCGAGCCTGACAAAAGGGTAGGCGGTAGATGAGATAGATCATGGGAAATGTAAATAGAACTGGACGAACTACAATGCACAAGCTCATGCCCACCAGCACCCGGGATGTTAAGATGGTTGTGTAGTGGAGTGGAGCACAGATAGCCACATAACGGTCAAAGGCCATGGCCACCAGGACCTCAGCTTCCATGCCAGTGAGGGCATGGATCAGAAACATCTGGGCCACACAAGCTCCAAAGTAAATCTCATGTGCATCAAACCAGAAGATACCCAGCATCCGGGGCACAAAGGTGGTAGAAAGGGCCAAATCAATTGTTGAAAGGATGGCCAGAAGGTAGAACATGGGCTCCTGGAGGGTCTGCTCAGCCTTGATGACTAGCAGAATTGTGACATTGCCCAGGAGAGCCACAAGGTAAACACAGCAGAAAGGCAGGGAGATCCACCCATGGACCTGTTCCAGACCTGGGATTCCAATAAGGAAAAACGTGGCTGGGTGGGAAAGGCTCCTGTTGAGGTTTTCCATTTTGTCACTGGTCAAAGGCAAAGGAGGTTAAGCTGCTCCTCTTGTGGGGAAAAACAAAAAAGAGGGAGAAGGAGAAGTTATCAGAATAAGAAAGAGCACATCAATTGCTTGCTTAGTGTTTCAGGGTAGAGTTGATGGTATGTTTACTACATGAGTAGGCTTGTTACTCAAGAACATGTATTGAATCAGCCCCAGGGCCAATTAGCAGGTGAGGCTCAGGTCATATTCAGAGTGCATTCTGTCTGCTGAGTTCAAATTCCAAACATGGCAACTTGCAGCAAACTCAATGCAGAACTCTAATAATTAGAGCTCACTATTCACTTTGCAAGAGAACAAGGTGTGAATCTATTCTGGGAAATCCACTCTCTTGAGTGACACTGAAAACATCAAGACTGTGCTCACTGCCAAGTTAACACACTACAGAGGCTGTCAAAAATGCCTTTAAATAATCCATAATAAAAAATAAATCATAGATCCAAATGTATAGGTACTCACACAATGAAAACCTGAATTCTTCTGACTCATTATTTGCCATAGAGATACATAACAACTCTGACCCACATTCAGTAGCATGTCTCAGACACCAAATCAGATTATGAGACACAGTCACTGTTCTCAGACAAGTGCTGGCTCCTTGAGATGCTTGGCCAGGAACAGAAACAGTTGATTGTCCATGATTTACATACCACACAGGGGATTAGTTGGAAAAAGGAAAAGGAGAGTTATCTAATGCCATCTGCCCACTTTTGCTCAGTATCCACACTGTTATCAGGTACTCTCAGAGCACCTATTAATTTCACCTGTGTTCACTTTACCACTGCTATGGAGCAAACACTTGCTTGGTTACTCCTCCTCCCAACAATTCAAGACACTAGAAGTCTAGGTAGCAAACCCTGAAAGTTTCATATGATTTTGATCCTAACAAAGGTATTTTTGTAGCTCTCTGGAATAGCAGTGTCTCAATAGAGTAGAACCTATTTTGTAATTACCTAAAGGGCAAGGAGAAAGACACTCAAATGATGTCTTCCTTAGAAATGCTGCAGAATGAACCAAGCCACTCAGAATGAAGGAAAGAAACTTACCCTTGGGTGTGTGGTATGACAGTTGTAATTAAAGCATAGAAGTCCTTGCTTTTCTCCTCAGTACAGTTTCACTTATCATTTTAATTATCTTTTTTGATATAGAAAACATACCGAGGTAAAAAAATAAACTATCTTTTATGAGCTAAGTCCAACACGGAGAGAGAGTAATTGCTGCCAGATACACTGACACTTATTTGTATTCCATAAAAACAGACAAGCGGACCAATTAAAAAAAATACCTAGCAGAAAGATGATGGCCAAATTGTACCCCAGGCTATAGCACCCAAGATGCTTATTTTGGAACAACATTAGGAGCCTACTGTCAACAGTAGGTTTTTTCTGGCCTCATTTCTTCATATTGCCATGAATTGCTTTCATCCAATGCAATTGATAGAGTGATATTAAATGCCTTGGATATTTCTTGTAGATTTTAAAGATTATCTTACCATCTTTTTAAAAAATCACATATATATCTATATATCTGTATATCTATATCAATATCTATATCTGTATTTATTTCTATATCATTTTTTCCTGCCTGTTTATCACTGTGGTCCAGTTCTCAGCCTGCTGTGCCCATGTATTTCTCCATTTCCTCCCACATGTATTCACCACAAATCAGCAGCTGATTTAACTCTTTCTTCCACAGCAGTCGACAGTTACACAAAGCACCAAATAGCACAGCATGCACTCCTCTTTCTGAGCAAGTGGAGGGCATGTTTATATGAGGCTTCTAGCACCTAAGGGACTTTTCTAAGAATACATCCCATTTAATCCCAATTTTACACAGAGCTCGAGGACTGAGTTTGCAGATACTGCTCACAAATTTCTAGATTCTGTTCCAGAAAAATAAAAGCCCAAGGCATATAGAAGCAAACAAAAGTAGGTGAATAAAAGTAAAAAGTAGGGATAAAACACAGTGATTGTCATTTATACTTAACACATGTGAAAATAGATACATTATAACTCCACGTTAGTAAATATGCAGCACAAGTCTATAGGCAACTGAAAAAACGAGACAATTTAATTTCAAATATCTTAACTAGTATGGCAGGCCTTTTTATAGTTTCAAATGTTACCATTTCTCTTTACTGCTTTGAGTTTCTCTGATTAGCATGAAGGACACACACAGGTCAATGATGTTTTTCACACTTTTTCTATTCATGAAATTCCTAACACCACTACCACAATTTTGCATGTACAAATTTCAAAAGTCCTATTGATACAAGCATAGATTTCAATCCAACATTCAGAGTCCTGGTGTCCAATTTTGGTTCTGCTATGTACAATCTAAGTGATTTAGGATGACTTACATATCATTTCTATTCCTCAATTTCTTTCACTATAAAATAGAAATCAAAATAGTGTCTCCATCATTGAGTAGATTATAGATATACATTAAATGTTTCTAAGGCATTTAGAATAGTGTTCTGTATATGCTAAGTGATCAATTTTATTATTATTGGTTTTGTTTATTATTATTTATTATTATTAGTTTTGGTTTATAAAAACAATTCCATAGATATTATTTATGTAAAAAAGATGGAGGAATCACTTATATTCTACCAGTACAATAGTCATTTTTCTTATGAAATCTCTAAAAATATTAAATATTTGCTTCTCTAATTTGAGTCAATCATGTGTATATCTTGTGGATCTTACTAAATGTGATTTTATTAGATTGAAAGAATTAGATCCTTTTATTGTACAGTATTAATTGCTTTATTAAGTTCTGGGAACTTCCCTAAGACAGTATCTGGCTTAAGAAAGAAGGCACTGAATACAATGTATGACAAGTACCATATTTTGCTGTGTATAATGTGAACTTTTTTGCCCGATTTTTTGAGGGAAAAATAATGGTGTGCATTATACATTGGTAGTACTAATTCCATATCTATATAAATTGTTTTTAATTATTCTATTTATGCTCATGCATTAAAAGTGTAACTCTAGAAAACAATAATGATATGCATATACAAAATAATACCCTGAAATATGACAATTGGTTTTGTTTCTAAGTATAAATAAATACATAATGGAGTTTAAAAATTAAAACGAAAGATTTTTTTACTGAAAATTTGGGCCAAGCCCTGGCTGGCATAGCTCAGTGGATTGAGCGTGGGCTGCAAACCAAAGCATCGCAGGTTCGATTCCCAGGAAGGGCACATGCCTGGGTTGCAGGCCACGGCAACTGCACATTGATGTTTCTCTCTCTCTCTTTCTCCCTCCCTTCCCTCTCTAAAAAAAATAAATAAATAAAATCTTAAAAAAAAGAAAGAAAATTTGGGCCAAAAACGTGGCCATACATTATACATGGGAGTGCATTATACATGGCACAGAATGGCAATCTTTTCTTCAGACATTCCCAGTCTTCTCCATCACTCCATGTAAACATTAAAGCTATCTCCTCCAATAAGCTTACAGTTTTGGTTTTCCTGTACTTATATGCTGAAATATTCTCTTGAATCAAATGAGGTCTTTACACATAATTAGAATTAATTTTAAGACATGCAAAACACACATTTTTTTCTCGGTTAGTGTGAACTTTGCTGCATTTAATCTTTGTAGCTACTCAAAAATATCTTGGGTCCATAAAAGGAGCTAAGTTTAAGAGGATCAAGATGAGACACAGAATCTCAAGAGCAAATACCCAAACAAACTTGGTCCCTGGTGACAGTTATTCAAACATGTCTTACATGAAACCACACCCACATCTTTATTGTTTCAAGAGCAAATAAATTCCCTGAAATGACTAAGACAGTTGGACTTTTTTTTGCCAGAGACCTACGATGTGAAGTATTCCAACAGATACAGATTTAATTACTTTTTTTTCCTTTCTGGGAGACCTCCCTCCCAGCAGCCTTAATTCTGCAGCTCCAATCAAAACTGGATACTTTTCATGTGCCCAGCTGGGAATAGCCTGTACTTTCTCTCCTGTTTTGGGTTCACTGTTCCTCAGACCTCATGTTCTCCCATTTCACATGTAGCTTTCCAGTTTTCCTGGAACACACCCTATGTACTTTACAAGGATAGGATAAGTGGGAGATGTGTTATGGAACAGCAATTGGAGTCTTGCTGCCCACTGATGCCCTCCAGACAAAACTACAGAGGCAAAGGTTCAGTGATAAAGGAAAGGTGTCTTTATTCAAAAGCAGTCACTTTAACCTATCAACTCACAACTTTAATACTTAAACCTCCTATCATTCCTTCTATTTTTAGTTATCTCTCTTATATAGGGTTAATTTATGAACTAAAACAACATAATATATGAAAGCTATGCAATTTTGGAAAAATGGCAGGTCTCTGCCTCAGAGGTCATCCCCTCTAGGATGCCCAAAGAAGAATAACCCTGTTCCCCTCTGCCAGGCCAACCCAGTCCTAGACTGTGCCCAGAGTTCTTTCCTATTCAAAATGCTGTCCATTGGGAAATGCAGGCAGGTGCAGCAATATCATCCAGGCATCCTCAAGGAAGAGAGCCTCAAGTCACTCAGCCAGCACCAGCCTGAGAGTGCTTCCTTTATTTCAAAGCTTCTCTACCATAATTCAATGTGCTCTGGAGGCATTCAGCTGCTCAGTCAATCCTGTCCTAGGCTGCTTACCATTGCCTGGGGTAACCTCCTCCTATGGCCTTTTCTGCATTCCTTCCCCGTGATCCCATCAGATCTCTCTGTATCAGACAGTTTCAAAATCTTTCTGTAACTGAAAATTACTTTGACCTCATCTATGATAGGTATTTTGTGTTTAGTCTTTGTTATCAGTTTAGTTGTATCCCCTCAAAATTCACATATTGAAGCAAGCCCCAGTAACTCAGAATGTGACCTTATTTGGAAATAGGGTATTTGTGGATATAATTAACATAAAATTAGTTCATACAGGAGCAAGCTGGGGTCCTAATCCTGTCTGACTGCTGTCCTTATT